ACACACACACACACTGCGCCGGTGTTTGTGCGTTGGCCCGCTCACCTCTTCATCTACATATTGTTCTTTAACAGGAAGTCCACATGGGGACGTGTTTCAGTGAAGTTTGGCAGAGTGAAGCGATACAACACATGTTCTCTTCTCTGTCAAAACTTGAGGTGCCCTTTAGCAAGGCACTACATCCTGTTCAGTGGAGTGAGATGCAGGATGTTGGCGAAAAAGAGCGAACACGCATCATAAATCTTCTTTACGTAAATAAATCTCAGGAGTGGCGCAGAAAGAAACTGGGTGGGGAAATATATATATATATATATATTCCTTCTCTCTTCTATGAGAATGAACTTAAACATTCCAGTTTGTACTGACTTTGTTACAACTGTGCTGACAAATATACTTCTTTACTTCTAGTAAAACTAGCAGTACTACTGTGTAGAAATACTCTGTTTCACGTAAAAGTCCTGCATGGCTTTACGAGGACTGATTCATTATTTCTTGGCAGGCTAGCTGTTACCAGTCTTTATGCTAAGCTAACTGGCTGCAGCTTAATATTTACTGTAAAGATAATCTGAAATATCTTTCAGGCACGAAAGTGTACAAACCCAAAATCATGAACTTTTAAATGTTTCCATTTCATGCTACTGCATAAAATAATACTTTGTACTACTTACTCCATTACATTTAACAGGAAGCTATTAACTAGTTAGTTTGATGAATCAGCTCATAGAGTATGACATGTTGTTATAGATTGAAGTACAGTTAAAACTATAACCACATAATAACTCTTTTAGATGACTTTGATCTGATGACTCTTACTCTACTTGTTGTATTGCTAGTTTTACTGAAGTGAAGGACTGAATTCTTCTTGCGTCATTAACTCATCTCCCAGTGATCCCATCCGCACACCTTCACACTGTTTCTCATCTAAAACTGTTTCACATCCGAATCTCACACCACCGCCTTTTTGACGATAGAGCTTTTTATCAAACATCAAAACATCTCAATCTATTAGCCTAAGACCTGAAGCACATCTCTCTCTCTCTCTCTCTCTCTCTCTCTCTCTCTCTCTCTCTCTCT